GAAGCTTTTTAACAGCCGCCTTCGCCAGCTGTGGATGTGTTGACTGGACTTTGGCGTTGACCGTGGAGCAGCTTATTTACTATTGAAATTTGAACAAATATTCAAATGATTATAACTTTCTTCAAATATGACGAATTTTCAATCTGAAAGCTGATTTGGGAGTTTTGTGAAGAGCTTTTTCTAATCAGTATTTAGTGACTGAAATTACAGGAAGTTATAAGAAATAACAAATTTAGATCAAATAACGAGGAAAATTCGAGACGAGCACGAGTTTTTACACTTTCCGGAGCAATAACTTGCTTCATTTCCGTCAAATTCAAAAAGTTGATACGTCATACAAAACTAGAAGATTTTCTCTATCAAACGGTCGCTAAAGCAGCTTTATACGTTAAAAAAATGGCCACGTTGAGGATTTTGCAAAATTAACGAGGAAAATTTGTGATGAGTGCGAGTTTTTTTACTTTCCTAAAGCCATAACTCCGTTCAAACTCATCCAATCCGAAAAGTGAATACGCCATCATAAACTAGAAGATTTGCTCTATCAAATGCTAGCTAGAACTGCTCCAAACGTCCAGTATTAAAAAAACGGCTACGTTGAGGATTTTCGCACGAGTACCGCCGAAAGGTACACTTTTTCGCTACATTGGCACTATTTCAACGGCTGTATATCCTTTTAAGGGCGTATGTACTAAAGTAAGAGCAGATTTGGAATCATTGCTTTCGCGTCTTTTCGTAAGGAAGTGATTTGATTGATTAGCGTTTCTTAACTTTAAAGGTTACATGTTTATAAATTTAACCCTGAAGAGTCCGTTAACGCAGTGTTGAATGGTGTACACCTCCCTGTAAATGCGCACGGACACATTCAGAATTCTCTCGATTGTTCCTGAATTGAGGTTGTTTGTCCAAGGAGCCGTAGTTGAAGCGCGCGCAACAACTAGACCCTTTCTCGGATGCGCCGTGTACCTCACATCCCTTCCGATTCGGGGTCTTACTTGAAAGATGAAATATCTCTTGGAAAGCGTGCGAAATTCAGATTCTTTAACTTGTGTGGTGATAAAACACTGAAGTAACTAAGAATTACCGGACGCCTCAGAATCACGAAAATTTTGTGTGGGTGAAATATCATTTTCATTGGAAATCCTCTGGCCTGGCATCGACTCATCCTTGATATTTGTCTTCCGACGGTGATGATCCCACTGCATCAAAATGGCTCGATCTCTTCCACCCAGCGGGCCAATACGACCCCCCCCTGCGACGTGTCGAGGATTCCTCAACGCACGCTGACCCTGCGCATAAGCTACACAGAGGAAGGATGAGGGATGGCAAGAGTGATCAGATCCGTGGTTGCTATGCGCACGCACTTCATTTCCATGTATATTCGACAGTGCAATTTGGCTTTATAAAATGACAAGAAGGGTTAGCCAATGTTTATATAGGTATTTTTACCCTCCCAAAGAAGTCTAAGGGCAAGCTATGGGATAAAATAGGAGTGTAAGAGCGTTCAATAATGAACGTGGAAGTTGGGATCGGAGAAGAAAAAGGAAAGCCCCGAACGAGCCCCCTCCTCTTTCAGCCGCATTTCACCTTGGGATGGAGGAAAGCGCGTTCGGAGGAGTTTCGGCGGTTCGCTCCACTTGCTCCAGAGCCATTACATTGACCACAATGCTAACGCTGCCAACGCACTCTTCTCGCAGCGAAAATGTGGCCGCAGCAGCGAAAGGCTGGGCTTGCGGACGAAGGTGTGGGTTGCGTGGTCAAGGAAGCTTCTTTTGGCCCACACTTTCAAGATGCAAAGGGGGCACGACATCAACGCTTGTCCGCCTGGCTACCACGATCGGAGACAGAGCAGTTGAGTGTGCCTCCATCCCGGACCGTCCCTCAATCCGACCGGCAAGTGCTCGGTTAGCTGAGATTCGATCGCGATGTGATTTTTTGACTGCGCGTACGGTCAGCGGCCTTTAATGCCACGAGCCTTTTTATAAAAGTAAATTCGTCTGAGTTCGTTTGAATAACGCAAAACCAGTAACTGGAATTTAGGGCTGCTGTTTGTTAAGCTTCGATTCACCTTTCTACCGAGAGAACAGGCAGCAACGGAAACGTGGAAGACGTCACTTGTGGTTCTCCCATAAAAGATGCATTGAAATATGCACAAAAATGAACTTCCTACCTTCTATGGAAATACCGCTTTTGAGCCAAGCCGTCTTCAATGCCCTCCGAAGCCAACTTACAGTGTAATATCTTGGAAGGAGCTATTGTGAAGAATGTTATCTACGCTTTCTGGATTTAATATGTTCCCTTGCAAATTTGCATTCCATCCATGCTCTTTGATTTCGTGCTATGAAGTGTGTTTGCAGGTGAGCAAATAGAGGTCTCGCCCTTCCACTTTATTGTATAACTTCGCTACGCATTCAACTGCCGCGATTGTTCACTACGGAACGAAAACGTGGCGTATCTCACTCGGCCTAGGAGAACGCATCTCCGTTTTTTTTTACAATTTTTCTAGTAAAATTTCTAACTTTTAGAAAATTCAAAAGTTCAGTATATTTTTCTGAAAAGGGCATGCTAAACAGACCTCATTGGTACCTTCCCAAGATGAGCCGCAGTATGAGTGTGGATTAGTGCCTCTTTCTGGAAATATAACAGTTAACTCGTTTGTAATCCAAATAATTTCAAACGTACCATACAACTGACGAGGCCGTGCATGCGTGCAAGGGCGCAAGGAGCTTGTGATTTGCATCCCATAGGTAAACTTCACATGTCGAAGAAAGGAGGAAGAGAAGACAAGTTCCAGACAAGTTAAGGAGCGGGAAAGCGGTTGCGTACCTATGGGTGTTTGTCGTCATAAAAGGCTGGAAAAATGAAGAGCGCGTCGATTAGAGGTACTGTCAGAGAGGCCGCCTCCAGTACCAACTTGTGCTTTGCAGTCCCTGCTCAGTCCAGAATCACTCTCAAACGAGAAACCACTAGCTGCTTTAAGCCAGGCTAGACTACCAAGTCTAGGCCCAATCATAAGCAACTACGATCCATTGTAGACATGAGCCAACCATAAGCTGACGCAACCTATACCTTTGGCTCAATGATCGCGCTGCTCTGTGACTTGAGCGAGTAGAAGAACTCAATCTTCTCCCGGTTATGAGAGAAAAAGCCAAGACCGCCACGGAGACAGCGTGCACGCAAGAATGGCAGCACATGCACATCATTCGCGCTATTATGACATAACTTTCCAATACCAGTTGTCTACAGATGCTCCAATCTCGTCAGCGCCCTGGTCGCCCTGCCGTCCCTCCCTGTTTTCTCGTGATATAGGGTTTAATTTTCGCTACATAAAGTGCGAATTCTCTGGTCCGTCCGCGTCTCTACCGAACCTCTTTGTTCTAACCAGGAAGGTCTTTCAGGCGTGACGAGCTTTTTGAAAACGGTCTTTTGCATGATATAGGGGCAGATGCGGGGACCACAGAACCATGTTTAATTTTTCCTGAACGGCCCTCTGAATACCAGAAAAGGGGGTCCCTAGTTCGATTCCTCTTGGTGACAAATTTTTGCATTTCGAGTTGACGTTCCAAAATTCGCGCAAAATGGAGTTCTGATTGTTCTGGTTGGTTCTAACTCCATTTTGCGCGAATTTTGGCACGTCAACTCGAAATGCAAAAATTTGTTACCACGAGGAATCGAACTAGGGACCTCCTTTTCTGGTATTCAGAGGGCCGTTCAGGAAAAATTGAACATGGTTCTGTGGTTCCCGCATCTGCCCCTATATCATGCAAAAGACCGTTTTCAAAAAGCTTGTCACGCCCTGAAAGACCTTCCTGGTAAGGCCGAATCCCACCTCTACTTCGGCGACTAGTGCGTAGCACAGAATTGTAGTTGAGTATACAGAAGAACGTGATTGATCTTTTGTGTTCTCAACTATTTCTTCTCATTTTCCCCAATAGGAGGTTCACTACTCGCCTCAGTTTTGTCTGCCACACATAGCCGCAATTAGAGGCAAGTTTGAATTTTATTATTTATTGCAACGGACATTGCCCTTTGCTCTCCAACACTATTCCGCACAAATTATAGGTTGTAGGGAAAGTTCTCGCGGTTTTTCGAAGCACGTTGAGCTCTGGTTGAGCAACTTTTTTGAATCGAAGCCAGAAAAGTTCTTTGCCGAAGGCATCAAAAGTCTGCCCGAAAAATGGCGAAGAGTGATAGAACGTGATGGTGATTACTTTGTTTCCTAATATGTTTTCTTGTTGATAAAAAATTAAGGTAATGATATGTGTCAAAAACCGCGAGAACTTTCCCTACAACCTACGTATATTCTACGGTCAAGATCGCGAGAAAAAAGGAACGACATCTTGTTATGCAATGTTCCCTCTGCAAAGTGTGTTTTTCCACACAAGTAACGAGAAAGAGATCGACCGCGATGCTGCACTTCTTGCCATCGAGACCAATGAATGGCCAAGTTGAAGTGAATGAATTGTGCTGGCGGAGTTAAGAAATTATTTTTTTAAATGAATTTGACCACTGACGGCAAAAATCACAATGCGATGTTTGCCCCAAAAGTTTGTGAGTCAGATTTCGATTGGCCGTATCGGAATTGGTTGCATCAGATCCGCAGTGCATCTGCACGTTGACGAACGAACTGTTCGTAGAGCAGACAAGCGTCGGAGGAGCCGTGCTGTTGGCGCAACTCGCTGACCATTCTCCACTTGAATGGACCGCTGAAAAGTATAGACCTTTATAAGGTCCAGTTCATGTACTACTCAGTTTCAGAACCTCTTGTTCGCACCGTAGTCCAGAAAACTAATTGTAAAGGGATCAGTGGTGATTTCAAAGGGTAGCTATCCATACATAAAACGCATTTGTTATGGGCCATGGCATTGAGTACTTGGAAGAAAATGAAAAAAAAATAAATAAATGAAGAAAGAAAAAGAAAGAAAAGAGAAGAGATCAAATCCCAAAACGGAGCCCTACATTCCGTAGAAGCGGCTATAAAGGTTAGCACATCACCTATGGAGTGGTTTATCGCTGAAAAAATCGCAGGCGTAAAGGCTGTAAGTCCTACCGCGGCGAATGCAAGGAAACCGCCAGCTGCATACATACTGCTTATGCCATTTAAGAACTTGTGGTTAAACTACTAATTTAAGTAGTTTCACAGTAGATAAAGGCAAAAAACGTGGACGTGGACAGATGTATGGGTGCCAGTGACAGTGACATTGGCGCAAGGTAACGAGGCTAGTAATGAAAAAAGGAAAGAAACGCGTCTAAAAGAACACATTAAAGCCTCAGGTCCTGGTGGCGGCGAACCCGAATAGCGCTGAATTCGTGTGCGGGCTCAGTGGTTGGCGGGGTCAGTGGTGCCTTCAGTGCATTCGGCTTGTCGAATTATCCAGAAACACAATATGTTACATGCTTAGTGCTTCCTCCACCGCATATTTGCCATTAAAAAAGCGAAAAAAGCCTCGATTTACACCGGAAACCTTGGCCTTAAACTGAAGTGTTATTAAGGTTTCGGCATCTGATTATTTGTTTGGAACTGTCTCTGGCACGACGAATTGTCAGTTTCGTGGGTCGTATACAAAGACAAGGAGGCAATGGAAGGTATCCTAGAAGGAAATTGGTGTCTTCACGTAACTAGTCCCGGGAAGACTTCTGGTGTACTAACCCACAAAATATCGAGGCGCAATGACGTCACTTGCCCACGCGTCTTTGTTCGCGTCGGGGTTTCCTTACGCAATCATTGACTGGCAGACCGCGCAGCCACTCCTGTCTGGTCCCTCAGAATATGTGCAAGGATCGCTAATCGCACCTGTTTGAAGTGAATTATTCCTTGAAACGAACAATGAAAAATTATCTCCGATCATTTTGAAATTTGCCGCTCTTATCGGTTGTGATGAACGTAACCTCACAATTATACCGTCGAATTAATACTGTCGGTTGAACAAATTGCTCCGTAATAATGATCCTTTTGTAACTGTACATGCAAATCTAAAATGAATTGCAACACCCAATAATGCGTTTGCCCAGTACGCCGCAGGATCGTTGCCGAATTCAGGACACTGTGTGATTGCATAAAAGAATCTATTATTCCATCAAGAACGGCAACCCAATTTTTTTCGTCGGAAATAGTTTAAAAATAGACTAAATCGAAGTTTGTGTAGTAGCGGAGATTCGGACACTTTCACCTTCTCCGCTAGATCGAGCTAACATACCAATTAGAAGGTTCCGTCAAGAAGTGAGTCTCTCTTCTCCCCCCACATCAAGGTATCATTGCGATCAACGTGCAGTGTACAAAATCGAAATGCATGACATATAATTTTTCGAGAAATAACACATCCTTCGAGAATTTCACACATGAAAAAATGAATGATTATTCGATATTAGAGCTTTGACCGTTTTCTAGGCACACATACCTCCAACGATTGACAACAGTACTGAAAGAAAATTGTGGCAGAGTTACGGCGTGTCAACTGGTCGCAGAGTCAAATGCTATAGAAGCAGTCATGGTGGCATGGTGGTTACGGGGATGTGGATGGGACAGTGAGAAAGTCGAATTTAAGCCCTTCGAAGGCTTGTGATGGCAGGGGTCATGCCGAGATCCCTGAGCGAGAGAAAGTGATAAGCTTGGAATGGGCACAGCGGACAGCAGACCCACTTTTTTCTATTTCGACAAATGGGGCTGGTACCCATTATCCGACTACTATGGGCTTGGATCGACCTGGAATTACGGGCCTGGATCGTTCGGGTCGCAAGCGGGGCCACTTGCTGTTTCAGCAACTGCTTCCAGAAAATAGCACGTATCTTCCCAAATTATCAAGGTACTGCTCTCGAATGCATATTTAAAAACTTACTGAAATAGCACGATTCTCCTAGACATAGGTTATCAATTGAACAGAATTGTCCTTCAGTGGTTGAGTTGCCATAACAATGGTAGCAAGCCACTTCGAGCGCTGCCGCATTCGCGATCCATACGATCAGCAGTAAAAAGACCGCGATCATGGTCAAACTGAAACATTTTCTCTGAACCCTCCGAAAAGTATTTTTGAATTTATTTCCAAAAACTCGAAAATTCGAAATTTTTCCAAGTTCTGTTTTTTTTCTGGGAAATCTTTTGTAGCGGATTATTACAAGCCACGTTCAAGCCTAGTGAAACATGATATTTTTACCCATCATTAACAGTGAACAGTAAAATTGTAGGGTTTAGAGTCGACTATCTCTTTGGATTGCGCCGTTCATTCTTTTTTCAATCAGAGTTGTGGGTCAATTGAACACTCGAAATAGGAAGAACGGAAGGTCTTCATTGCCTTGCACAGGGCTAATTCTGCCGACGAACCTGGCAAGTAAGAACGATGCCTCCTAGCGTTACATCCTTCCTGTTCTCATAAGCTCGCGCATGGAAGTAAAAGGCAGTGGTTACCACATGCACGGCTCGGGGATCTAATTCGGGTCAATTCGTACCCTAACCAATCAAGCTTTCAATTCTTCAAATGTCTGTTAGCTGGTGCTGAATAGTATCCTTTGACAGAGTGGATAAATATATTGACCAGTCGGCTAGCCCTAGCAAGCTACTGCATAGCAGTGTTTTCTATTGTACGCCAGCCACTACCCTGGACGAAAATATAGTACATGGCGCATCCCAAAATGGGGTTAATCAACTCCGAATGCTCCCCTTTCTCCTTTCACCATTTTGTTTGTAGAATAAGAAAGTAAATTCAAAGGATAAAAAGGATAAAGCAGAAGGTAAATTAGGATATAAGGATAAGCTTCGCCGTGATCATCCCGTATCTGGGATGACGGCACATGTCGAGGTTTGCATTGTACAGTCGTAGTGGCGTTGATGCGATGTGGCTGTTACAATAATGACTTGGGGGGGGGGGGGAGGGTGTAGCCGATGTGTACAATAGTGTTTTTTTATCTGATACACAAGTTGGTACAATTAATGGACCGAGAGGATGGACTTAGTTTGGCTGAGCGACCACATCCAGGGATTTTGATCATAGGCGCTCGCGTGGTAAGGTGCCACTGGGGCCACTACCACTTCCCGGCCCAGATTAAATTTTACACAAATGTATGGCGAACTCAATTTTTCTTATTTGCTACACTCTTGGGACACACGGTGTTGTTTGCGCATGAGTCATTCATGCCTTCATGCGCCACACAAAAGGGCCATTGAAATTGTCGCGGCTGTGTACAGATATAGTACTTGGATAATAGAATATCACGAAAGACGATGTTGCCTTCCATTTTTGCTTTCTATGTGCCTCGATTAGTTTTGAGCCAAATTATCTTAACAGATAGACTGCAAACCATGTCATATCTTTGAGATGTGTAGGGCGTTCAACTCCAGTGTTTTGCGAAGGGGCTTAGGCCATATCTTATCAATTTCATTGCGAAATGAAATAAATGATGTTATTACACTACCGAGCGACAGTTCTCCCTCCAAGAAGGTCACTTCCCATTAATGTTTTCAATCAAGAAACAAGGCCACTAAAAATACCCTAGCTTCGAATGTTGATGCCCACTTTACGAAGTGAATCCATCATTTTGAACCCGGCGCTTTTGTAAACAGCGAAATTTCGTGTAACTTTGGGGAATGATAGCGAGCATGGTCCCCTATCGTCCCCCCCCCCACCCATCACATGCTAGCCTATCATATTATCACGTGGTTCACTATCACAGACATCACATATCACTCGATTGGCGAGTAGCTCTTCAGTATCACTGCCAAAAGTGCGACACGTGACCTTTTCTAGACATTCATCGCAGCAAAACTGATAATATTCCTGTCACTTTCGGAGCATGCTTACATCAGACGTCGAAGCATACACGTACGTTAGCTGAATAGGTGGAAAAGGTTGAATGCATGGCGTAAACCAAATGGATGTCTCCTTGACTAGGCCTATGGACTAAGCTCAGTCCAGCACCGCTTAATCGCTCTCGATAATCGCAGAAATAAGAAGGAACGAAATTGAATGTCGACCTGTGTGGGGTCTGATCAAATATGTAGGCCCAATGTCTCAAATCCCTTGGCACTAGACTCTTTTCATGGTTAAAGCATGGATCGAATTCACCTATTTCGAACATGAATCTGGCAGGAAGTTCGCTATGAAAAGCGAAAGCTTCGTAATTTTTCTAGAACTGCGATTTTACAAATATTTCATAAAAGTCGTACAACTTTGACTAAATTCACTTGCAATTACTACTATTTCTGAAGATTCCACTTGCAACCCTTGGCCCCCTCCTAGAACACCACCTCCAGTGAAATTCTGTGCTCTTTCGGAGGTCGAGTTACAGTGCGATAAATACGATTTGGCCAAGGCTAAATGTACAGAGTATGCCAGATGACAGCTCGAACAAATTTTTTCAACACGGCCAAATTTAGCCAGAAATTGAAACAGTTAAGTTTGTTCCACAAACTAATCTCGCTGATGTCACGAAGCATAAAGAAGACGAAGCTATGGACCTGGGAGCTAACTGTGAAGATTTGAGCTGATATTTTTATTGATGAGGGAAATTCGCGTCTAGCTCATAGATAACCTGCTGAGAAATCCGTCAGTTATCTCTGGCATTAATCTCCTCACATTATCCTTATG